GACCAGTTGGTAACTAGTTCGTGGGACCAGTTGGTAACCAGTCGGGGACCAGCCGGTAAGCAGTTGGGTCCAGTTTGGGACTAGTCCGAAACTACTTACCTTCGGACCAGTTGGGGACCAGTTGGTCTTTTTAAGCTCCTGTGGCCGTTTTAAGGGTAATTCTTGGGCTCCTGCACTGCCGCTCGGGGTTTCTGCCTTCTACGGTGGTAATTTTGGGCCGGGTTGCCTGTTTTGGCGGATTGTTGTGCTGTGTGCCGCGTATTACGTGTACCGGGTACCACTTTCTCGAGCGAATTGCTCTGGGGAACCTGTTGTGTCNCCGGAAATAGACGAGACGCCATTCTTTAAATAAAATTAATTGGTGCTCGTTTGTATGTACATACATATGTAAATGCATGTGTGTGCACCTTTCTATTAATATCGTTGAATTATTTTAATATCTATTGCAAAATTTTATTCAGACAGGACTAAAAAGTAGAAAATAAATAATATAAAAAAAACTTTTTAATATACAACGCTTTTATAAATGGACTAAAAAGTAGAAAATAATACTTCTCAGTCCCATAGAATTTGTTTTGATAACTTTTGATTTTGAAATTTTAGCAAAAGTCATTATAAACAATCTATGAAATTGAAAATGAAAAGCGTGGGGCGCATGTAATACACTTGAATTGATATGAAAAGTAATATATGTATGTATGTATGTGGGTATATGAATAACGACCGCTTAAAATCGATTTCAAAGTTCTACTTTCGCTGTAGAAATTTTAGGTCTACGTTATGTAGTTTGACTATTGTCAATTAAATCGAATGCTTTGTATTGCATGCGCTCCACGTTTTTCATTTTCAATTTCATAGATTGTTTATAATGACTTTTGCTAAAATTTCAAAATCAAAAGTTATCAAAACAAATTCTATGGGACTGAGAAGTATTATTTTCTACTTTTTAGTCCATTTATAAAAGCGTTGTATATTAAAAAGTTTTTTTTTATATTATTTATTTTTTATATGAGAGTTGAAGTCGGTTTTTTTTTGCTAAAAATTACTTGTATAAATATCTAATGGTGCTTTCGTTTCTACCAAAATATGTAGGCTTTTGATATTGCAGGCTGAGTATAAAGCAACAAACAAATACTTCGGCACATAAGGCACACCCTAATACATACATATTTGTTTTTTGTTTTCTTAAACCAATTTTTAAATGTTGTCAGTGATAAAATACAATGGAACTTGTCTGCGGGCAGCTTGAAAGATGAACCACAGTTTTACGAACTTCAATTATTGCTTTTTATGCGAAATTTACATTCATATTAAATTTGAAAATCCGTGATTAAGCGCTTAAAACGAAAATGAAACAAAAACACACATACATACATAAGTATTTGAATGTTAAATTGTTGTTTTCTTAGCGACAGACTGACAATAACGATACCGGCTTTTACGGACACGAGCTGGGTAATGAGTCAGTCAATATGCGCGTTCCTTATCTCCCAGAAATAGTCAGAAAAAGTCCGAAGTAGTCAGATTTAGTCCAAAAAGCGTTCCTTAACTCGGAAATGACAGCAAAAATGAGAGAGCAACAGTCAGTGAGAGCGACTCTCATCAGTCCGAAGTAGTCAGATTTAGTCAGAAGAATTTTTTCTGGCAAAATCCTGAAAAGTGTCAAACTCAACTGAATTTAAATTAACGGAAATTAAAGAATACGCAAAAAGTGAGAATAATCTAAAAAGTAAAAGAAATGAATTGAAATTGGAAGGAGGCAAAAAATAATTGATATAGCAAGTGTTTATTGTGCTTGTGCTTGTGTGAATGTGTTTTGTACATACATTTCTGTTCTTATTTGACGTTAGTTTTGTTGTTGCCATTCTTTGGACTAAAAATTTGGTTTTTTGCGTTCCTTTACTTTTCCTGTTACTCTCTTTTAGTGAGCGCATTTTGCTTACGCTCTGGCATTTTGACACTTTTCAGATTTTAGTCCAAAAAGATAAGGAATGAACCTAATATCAGCAAGTGGATTGTTTAGTTATTGTTATTTGGAAAGATGAGAGCATGTGATAAATTGGCTAGTACCTGGAAGTGCATTGGCACATTATAACAGCAGAATTCACTTTTTAAAGGTTAGTAGTAAAATCGGGCCATAAAAATAAAAAGCAAACGTTTGTGCATATATATATGTACATACATATATACACATTTGTATAAATCTTACAATTAAATTTCATGTATTATTGCCATTTTATTCTCATACTATTTTTTTGCTTGGTCATTTAAAACCTTTGACTCGCGCAGTCAACAAACACTTTCATTTATGCACATAGGTAGGTTCATATGTATGTACCAGGGATGTTGCGAATATTTGCATTCGCATTCGTTATGCGAATTATTCGCATCATTTTACACATTCGCATTCGGCATTCCTATTCGCATCAAATGATACGAATATTTTGCGAATGCGAATGTGTACATGGGCAGAGATTCCACTCTAATATTGTTGATAATATTGGCTCTAAGTCTGTCTAACCAGTAGCTCGTTTCTGTAACAATTCTCTACCAAGGCGAATTGAGATATGAATTCGCCGCCCTGTAGCTCGTTTCTGTAACAATTCTCTACCAAGGCGAATTGAGATATGAATTCGCCGCCTTGTTCTCTACTGCTAATTAGTAGGTGAGAGTGACGTATTTTCTCTACCAGTAGAGAAGTAATCGGTAGAGAAAAGTTACCGAAACGGGCTACTATTCTCCAGTGTTGCCGCGAAACATTTTTAGTGGTAGCTAAATTCCAGCTAAAAAAGGGCTAAAAAAGAGCTAAAAATCGTTGTTGTGGCTAAAAATGGTAGCTAAATATTTTTACCTACATCTTATATATAAAAATAAGTACACGTTTTTGGTGTGACCTCATAACTTGAGAACAGCTTCACCGAATCCAACCAAATTTATGTGGCATATTCGATTTATCATGCAGATGGTTTATGCGCAGTTTTCCCGAATTCTGAAGAGGGGGCGTGGCACTACCCATACTAACTAAAATATAAAAATATTCAGGCTATCACGCATATGGTTTATGTGAAGTTTGCCCGAATTCGTAAAAGGGGGTGTGGCACCTTCCATACTAACTAAAATTTTGTTGTTGTATATCTCTTGAAATATTTGTCGTAGAGTACTGGAAGTTGGTATAGAGGTATAACAAATAATTCCATACTCATGGATAAAAATGGGCGGTATTGGAAAAGAGGGCGTGGTACCTCACATCTTATATATAAAGAATAAGTGCAAGATTTCAACCAAATTTATACGGCATAGTCGGGCTATTATGCAGATGGTTTGGGTTAAGTTTCCCCGAATTCGGAAAAGGGGGCGTGGCACCACCCATACTAACAAAAATTTTCTTCTGGTATATCTCTTGAAATATTTGTGGTAGATTACTGGAATTTGTAGCTATACGTGGCCTGTTCAAGAGTTGGCATTCCAAATTGTTTATTTATTCATACCCAAGATGGAAAAACAAAAAATGTTGTATATCCAAATGTGTTGGATTAAGATTTAAAATAAA